AATGTAATTCTCAGACTAATCTGCTATCTGATTAACTTCAGCTTCAAAGAGGCAGGAAACACCACAGGTTTTCTTAGTATTGTGACCTTTTTTCTTCATTTCCTTGCCTTTTTTTTTATTTTTTTATTTTCTATCCTGAAAATACATCATTAAAATTTATGTGTAAAGAAAAGCTGTTATATCAGGCCCATTTTGAAACCTTCATCAAAGTGATCAGAAAGGGTTTTCAGAGGCCATTCCCTGCCACCACAGATGGAGGAGATTAATTTCAAATGAGTTAAGCCATGAATTGCACCCCAATTGCAGAGAAAGGTTATCTGACTTAGGATAAATGTGATGTTGATGTTCAAAGCTGGTGATATGTTGAATCCTAAACACAGAAGCAAAGTATATTTACTGTATTTTATTGTCAGGAAATGAAAATCAGAATATTAGCAGCTACAAGGAACTAGAGCCAGAAAAATGTAAACAACCATAGATTTCCTGCTTTCCCTTTAATACTCTCTTAGGGGTTTCAGAAATAGAAAATTTAGATCCTCATGTTACAAGATGCTGTCTCCAATATCAGCCTCACAGATTAATTTGGGTTCTACATTCACACCATGAATGAGATGATGTCACAGGATTTCAGCTCTGTGATATTTGGAAGCTACTTTGCAATGTACATCTGAAACTATAAAGTATGCAGCAGTTTCAGAGGAAAGCAGATAAAGTGTGTTGTGACATGGATTTAATTAGTCTAAATTTGCATACGGGAAGGTTTCAGTTTGAAAACATTAAAAGACAGCAGTGCCTTGGAAACAGGTTCACCAGAACACTGAAAATAAAAATCAAAATAAGAGAAAACAAAACTAAATTAAACAAAAAATGGCAAGATCAAGTCAAGGGCTTAACATTTCCTTTCTGTGGGCTGCAACTCAAGACACCTGTGCTGAGGGTCCAGCATTGGCACAGACTCCCTCCCTGCCCGAGTTTGACATGTTGGGAAGGACTTTTAAATAACCCTGCAGAGCTGTTTTCATGTCTGTGTTTTCAATGCTCACCACCAAAATCCATCTGTTCATTCCATGACTTTGCAGAGCAGCTGCAAGACCTTTCCTATGGGCCTGATGCAAGGCTGGGTGAAGTCAGTGAGAGTGTTTGCATGGACTTTAATGAGATTTGGATCACTCTGCCCTTTCACTGAGGCAGAATTCCACTTGGCAATTTCGTGGGCCACCTTCAGTCATCTCAGTCAGCTTCTAATGACTGTCATTGTTTCACACTTTTAAAGAAGCATTCAACCACCCAAAACCTCTGCACATATAATGGTCATCTACTATTAATAATGGACTGTGATTTATCTGGATGAGCCTTCCCCAACAGAGAAGCTCATTGGGATTTGTATCTATGAGAAAGTCTTAAATCCGTATAAATTTGCAAATGTCAAAGGTTGTATTATCACAGCTTATTTACACAGTGTGATATGCATCCTCATATTTGTCCAGACAGAGATCTCACTTGATTTGAAACAACAGCAGGTAGGGACAAATTATTATTTATTACTCTGGATAATTTATCTTCCTGTAAGACCACCTCTTTAATTCACAGCCAGAACAGCCCAGAATATAAAAACAAGCAGAGTCTACAGTGTAAACCTCAAAGAGGGGAAAGATTCTTCTCTGAGCTAAGGAGGGCTGGAGCATGGATCCTTACCTCAGGTTCCTGTTGCAGCCCAGAGCTACCACACGGCTGGGGCAGCTCTTTACGGTCTGTTTTTACAGTTCTCAGTGAAGAGATCTGTCAGCTTTCATAGAAACATAATTTTAGCACTCTGATAACAGCAGGGTCCTTTTTTTATTTGCCCTCTCTCTTTATGCATTAAAAAAAAAATCAGGAAAATATATGTTTCCTTTTAATGATAATGAAAATAATAGAAATAACTCACAGAAGTATGGACAAACAGAGCCTCAAGTCAGATCCATTTATGCTAGTAAAGTTCCCAAGACATTAAAGAAAACCTGGGATATATTCCAGCATAATTTTAATTTATTTATTTCTAAAGATTGTTATTTAGTTCTCCATTTGTATAGCAACTAATATAAGACTGTATAGTCCATGAGTAGAACTGCTAAACTCAGCATAATTATTACTACCCAAAAAGCAAAAAACCATCTTTAATCAAACCTAGGAGTATGACAGAACTCAAACTCCCTCTCAGTAACTTAAATTCATTTTTATCCTCAAGCAAACCTGAAAGGTATATGAAGTCTGTTGGGTTTTTGGCCCAAGAATATCTTTTAGCCAGTTTATGTCTGGAGAATCTCTCTTGCTACACTCCAAGCCTGTAGATTACCTATTTCTCATTGAAATGGCTTTTGCATTTTAAATATTTAAATTTAAATAAATATTTTCCCTGCCTGCAAATCAAAATTCAGAATCCCCAGCAGCTGCACAGCCTGCTAAGAGCAATGGCCTTTGCTAGACATAGGGTTTGGTTTCATGTCCAGCCCACGGTGCTCTTCATCCTAGTGCTTGGAGAATTCTGTCCAAGCTCCAGAGGATCTGTGTTCTTTTTCTCCTGGACACAGACACGTGTGTGCCTGCACAGGAGCTCTCTGACATGTGAAGAGAGGCTGAGAGAGCTGGGACTGCAGCCTAGGGAAGGGAAGGCTCTGGTGAACCTTTCCCATCTATAAATACCCGAGGCAGGGGGATAAAGAAGGTAGAAGCAGGCTTTTCTCAGTGGTTTCTACTGACAGGTCCAAAGGCAGTGATCTCAGCCTGAAAAATATGAAAAATTTTTTGAGCATATGAAAACATTTTTTTTTTTTTTTAATATAAGATTGACCAGCTGGGGAAATGGATTGCTGAGAGTTATGGAGCCTCCAGCTTTGGAGTATTCAAAATCCAACTGGACACAGCCCTGATCACTCTGCTTCATCTCCAGAATTTCTGTGAATTTCTGTGATTCTGTAACTGGAACAGGTGATAAATGTTGTTGACTAGCACCTGCAGAAACAGGGTAGGATTCTATTATGCCATAAAATGGTTTAGGTTGGAAGAGACCTTCAAGGTTCACCTTAGAGTCTTTCCTCTTTAAAAAGTGCTGGGAAATATTAAATAAACAGAAAAGTGAGAATAGCTCCCAAGTGAAAGGAAAATTTAAATGACTAGCGGCGTCCATCCCCTTTCCAGAGCTTTTTTACTTATGTGAGTGACTTGAGCAACTCGTCTTGTGACATTAAAAGGACTTTGGCTGCTGAATTTGTGCAGCTAAATTTAGATGTCAACAGTGAACCTTTCTGCATCTGGGAAAGTCATCCTGAAGATCCCTTTGCAGTTAATGTGAGTCAATACCAGCCAGTGAAATTTAGGTCAATATGGAGTTGATTACTTTATTCAAATGATCCCCACCCTAAAAACCCTAAAAATCTTTGGCTGTATTGATTAGATTTGTAATTACTGTAATAAGAGCCTGGAGCCTGGGAGTCATTCTACTCAGATGGAGGTGCTTAGACCTTGAATTAGCTGGGATGAATGTCATCTTCAGAAAGGTACCCTTCCCATTAGAGTGTTTCTATTGCCTCTTTGAGGTGTTTATGTGAATACAATGCAGGAACCCTCATCTCTGCTTTGTATCTGCAGCACAGCACATAATGGACATCTGGTTTCAAAAATATTATCTGAGCAATCTTCTAATGAGCAGTTTAAAATTTAGCATAAATGAAAATATGTTTGTGTCTGTATTTGGCTGCTTTCTCTCTGGTCATGGTCTATTTTAACACCTTGTTGGTTTGAAGTAAGGCATAATTAAAACAGTGTTTCTGAGGCTTTCACCTGTATCAAAAACAGCTAGAAAAAAAGAAGTTGTTATCAGTTATGTCTTCAGTAATAATAATGACAGACCAGTTTTTCATTCCTTTCCTCACCCTGGATAACAAGTTTAACTAGAATTTCTTAGACTGCATGTGTACACAAACACAGTCACTGAGGAAGTAGAGGTAGAATAAACACAAACACTACAAAAGCCGGCTGATATATTTCATAGTGATGCTTCTTACAAATACTCAGGGCTGTTTCATAGGTGGTGAGTGCAAAAATACAATCTGTGTAACCTCAGAAGTGCAAAGTACTGATCTTGTAGGTGCTGTCCCATTGCTCATGTCGTTCTTAAGAAGTTTCTTTTACAGTAATTGGAGAGAAAAAGACTCTTTGATCAAAAAGTCCCTTTTTTTATTTCATTAACTTGTCTACATGAATAGTGTAAACATTTTATGGTTTAGATCTACATGTTTTTGATCTCTAATTAGACATCTACAAGTTATAATGAGTTGTTCCTAGTCAGAGGAAGTGCCTAAGGTTTTCATTTTTTCACAGCATGGAAAAATGGGAAACAATACAATTTCTCAGCTATATTGTCTCCAGAAAAGTGCACCAGTGCCATGCCCTTTCTTTTATTCTTTGTCCATTTTGCAGAAAACTAATTTTTAAAACTAAATGCACTTTTCTCCAGGTATGGGAATTGCTGGCATTGAAGAGAACACAAAAATTTCTTTTTTCCTTGCTACAACAGATTAAATGCTGTATTTTCTTGATGAATTTGGTTTGTTTTTTTTTTTTTTCTTTTTTTTTTTTTCTGTATTCTCAGTCATAGAACCACAGAACCATTAAAAAGTCTGGGTTGGAAGGGACCTTAAAGACGATCTCATTCCAACCTCTCTGCCATGGGCAGGGAATCTTCCCCTAGACCTGGTTATTCACAGCCCCTTCCAACCTGGTTTTGAACATTTCTAGGGGCTCAGAGTCCACAGCCTTTGTGGGTAATCTGTCCCAGCCTTCTCATCCCTTCCACTTCCACAATTACCTTAGCCTGGAATCAGTGAAAATACAATTCCCTGAGCTTGATCTGCTTTGTTGTCTCTGCCTTTTGGGAGCAGCCACCCCTCCATCAGTGACACACCTCTGCACCAGAAATTGGGGATCCTGTGAATACTCACCAGCTGTTCTTGGTTTTACAGAGCCTGTGGTCACCCTGGGAAGTGGAATGGATTCTCAAGGCACTGCACATTCAGGCCCCACGTCCGTGTCTGCATTTCTGATCACGTCATATTAAACCTGCTATAACCAACAAGCACTAATTGTATGAAAGAAAAGCTAACTTTTATACTGTGTTTTGGTATCATTGTGAATAATTTTGCCTATTTCCCCCCCTCTTTTGTCATAGGCATATTTTACCTTATGTTACAGATTTTAATTATGCCCCCTGTATCTGGGGAATTCTATTTCTTTGCCTCCACATTTGCTATACAATGTGCTGTAAGATAAGTAGCTGTTAATTCATCTCTATTGTTTGTGTTTTTAACATGCTCCAAGATCTCCAATTCTGCTCTTTTAAAAATGTGAAAGTCAAGATGTTTGTCTGGTTGGTTGTTTTTTTTTCTGGGTTTTTTTTTTTGTTTGTTTGTTTTTTTTTTTTTTTTTTTTTTTGGGGTTTTTTTTGGTGTTTTTAGTATGTTTAAAAATTAATTTGGCTCAGATTCCCCTGCTGTGCACTGCTGCTTTAGAATTTGCTCTGCTGGATCTGAGCTAAGCACTTCCACAATTTCATGTGCCGTTTACAACACATCAATTAGATGCTTATTTGATCCCACTGTACGCACAGAACACCGTATTTATTCATGAGGAACATCACTGAAAGAGCAGGACAAATAAACAAAACATTATATTACGATTTTTTGGTGGCCTTTAAAAAAAAAGCAAGCAAGATATCTCATGAAAAATGCCAAATCTTGCTTTAGACTTCATTTAAAAGGTTTCAATGCAACCAACATTTGTGATTTTGTTCCATTTTCATCCATAATGTTTTCTCCTGACAACGTGATTGAAAGTTCCATTTAAATTCATCTTTAAATGTGTCATGTATGATAAATGCAGTTTTCCTTCAGTAAATAAAGCATTTCAAAAATGGTTTTAATTAAAACGCCATAGGAATTATTGAAGAGAATTTAACAAAATCATATATATTTTACTCTTTGGAAAAAGCAAAATCTTTTGACAAAAATATTTCTTACCAGAAAAAGAAAAAAAAAAAAAAAGGAAAACAAAATGTTACCTCTATATGTTATGGGGGTTTAGCTACTGTGAAGTTTTAGAAAAGAATAACAAATATTCAACTGGATTCTCACCTGCACTGATATCAGTCACATGCTCCCTTTCCAAAGAGCTGGCACAGTCTTTCATCAGTAAAGCTTGAGCACAGAAAATGCTCAGAGAAATCTTGCAGGTGCTTAAGCTCACTCAGGATCAAAACTGTGAAACTTCTTAGATCAGCACGTCAGGTTTGGGGAAGAAACACAAGTCACAGTTTCTGGTGGCTTTTCTTTAGATACATAAAATCTACCTAAATGGATTGGTATATGTTATATTAAATATTCATTAATTGTTATTAAGAAAAGTTAATGAATAGAGAGTTACTCTTCTTTTTTCTCTCCAGCCAAATTTCGTGCTGGCATGAAATTAGAAATTATGACACCTACAACTTTACCTTACTACAGAGTTTGCTTCTGAAGTTGAACTCCCTTCTTCTCTCTACCACAAAGTGCAAACTGCCTCCATCAGCACATTTGGCAAATCCTGCAGAGATTAAAATAATTTTCATCTAGTTAGTGAGAGCTGAAACGAACCCAGCTCATAGCTGATTGCAAGCAAATATTTTGAGAGCTTCGAGCTGCATTTGAACAAGGGATCCAGGAAAAACAATCCTTGCCCAGTCACTAATCCCATTCATTAGGAGCTCAGTGATTACCTCATTAGTGTGATTGAGCTTTCCCTGGGCCAGCTCACACAGCAGATCATTTGGCATTGATGACCCAGGTAAAGAATTTCTCTGCTGAAACTACAGAGGTTGCCTGGCTTCAAGCAAGGAGGAAATCATGTGGCAACAAAGATGGGCTGTTGTGTATTTTAGACTTGGTTATAATGGTAAACGTCATTAAAAAACCAAACAATTCATGAGGCCATTATAAAACAGTATATTCACGCCAAATCATAGAATTAGAAAATGGTTTGGTTTGGCAGGGACCTTCGAGGACTGTGTAGTCTAAGTCCCTGCCACAGGGACCTTCTTGTAAACCAGGTTGCTCCAAGCCCTTTCCCAACCTGGCTTGGAACATTTCCAGGGATGGGGCAGGTACAGCTTCGCTGGGAAACCTGAGCCAGGGCCTCCCCACCCTCACTATAAACAATTTGTTCCTTATGTCTAACCTATATCTTCCCTGCCTCAGTTTAAAACCATTGCCTTTTCTCCTGTCACTACACACCCTGGTGAAAAGAATCTCTGTCTTTCTTACAAACTCCCTTCATTCATTGAGATGGCTCAATGAGGTCTGTGCAGAGCCTTCTCCCCCCCAGGCTGAGCAGTGGAAGCCCAGCAGCAGTCAGAGGAGTGAGAATGTGTGAGAGAACAGCCCTGCAGACAGCCAGGTCAGAGGAGAAAGAGGGGCAGGAGCTGCTCCGGGAGCTGGGGCAGAGATTCCCTGCAGCCCAGGGTGCAGCCCATGGTGAGGCAGCCAAGCCCCTGCAGCTCTTGAGGGTCCACGGGCTCCTGGCAGGACCTGTGACCCTGCAGGGAGAGGAGTCTGTGCTGGAGCAGGTTTAATTGTCCCCACAAGCAGCCCAGAAGGGCTCAGCCTGTTCCTGAAGGACTGCTCCCCATGGAAGGCACCACACTGGAGCAATTTGTGAAGTGCAGCCCATGGGAAGGACTCACATTGGAGAAGTTCCTGGAAAACTGCCTCATGTGGAAGGGACCCCACACTGGAGCAGGGGAGGAATGTGAGGAATCCTTCCCCCTGAGGAAGAAGGATCAGCAAAGATGGGTGAGGAAGTGACTGCAAGCCCCATTCCCTGTCCCTCTGCCCCACTGAAGAGGAGCGGACAAAAGACTAAGAAGTCAAACTCAGGGAGGAATGGGGGGAAAGTATTTTAACATTTGGGTTTATTTTTTATCATCTTGCTCTGATTTCATCGGTAACAGATTAAACTAATTTCCCCAAGCTGAGTGTTTTGCCCAGGGCAGGAACTGCTGAGTGATCTCACCTGATGGGGTGCAGGACTTGGCTCTTGGCCTTGTTCAGCTTGACACAATTCACATTTCCCAGGCCTGTCAAAGTTCCCCTTTCCTTCTAGTGCATCCTTCACAAACCTGCAGAAGGTTGCACTCAGTCCTGGTGTCTGTGATATTTATAATGATATTAAATCATGCTGGCTCCAAATGGACACAACTTATTACCAATCCCCATTTGGACAATGAGCCATTGACTGCAAGTGAAGATTTATTTTCTATTTCTTCAGTCACTTCATGGGTACATTTTCCTTTGCCCTCCTCATGGAAAATAGAATATCTAACGATACCATTAAGCAGCTGTTTCTGTTACTGATGCTTTGGGAGAAAATACAGGCACAGTTTCTTCTTCTTTACAATATCTCTGGCAGAGACACAGAGCTCAAAGATTTCCAACAGCAGGCAGTTCAGTTTGGCAGACCCTGCAAACCACCGTGGTGTAGAGGGTTAATTGGTAACAAATAGGTGAGAATGGGATATGACATGGGAAAATTCTAATAAAACCTCTTTGCAAAGGCATTACAAGGAGTGAGAGCATGCTGGCAACAGTGGAAGAGAAGTTAAAAAGATCCTGACAAAATCAATTAAAAAGAGGCACATCAGAGGCATGGTGAGCTAAGTACCCAGCTCAATTATTAAGTTGTCAGGTCCTCTTAGTCTGGAGTGGAATAAGAAACAGGATTTTTTTCTCTGGTGCCTTAAGGATGAATGTGAACATGAGAAAAGAAACCTGTTTGGGTGCCTTGTGCTGCTGCTGACAAGCCATGCAGGAGCCAGGAAAATTTCTCAGATTCTGAGACCTTTAAAAATGACTGTTTGACAAAACTGAGTTCACAAAAGGAGACAGATCTCAAAACTGATAGTATTGTACATACCATCAACTCTTCAACAATTTCTTGACTTTTTCTCCCTTTTAATGACACACATGAAAAATTTTACTGTACATACAATTCCAAGAGTCAGACTTTGATGAACCTTGTAGGTCACTTTCAACTCAGGATATTCTATGATTCTGTGAAATCTGCTGTGCTGGGGAAAACAGCTGCTTGAACTAAGCAGGAGGAAGCCTTGAGGAGCCTTCTGTGCCTTCATCAGCACAAGGTAGGACACGAGGACAATTCTACTGCCTCAGCTCAATGCTACACATCATTCAGTATTCTGTCTCCAGCACTGGCAAAAACAAGTAAATAGGAGACAGAAAAAGTACCTTTGATCTTTTCTCCCTAATATTCTCACAGTCTTCAATCCTAATTTTTCCACTGAGGGGATTTCCAGGTGATGGTGTGGCTTGAAAACAAGTTTCAAAGATCTATTGCCAAGAGGAAAAAAAAAAAAAAATCCACGAAATCCCAAGGTTTGGTTTTGGTGTTTATTTTTTTTTTCATTTAATTTGGTTCCAACTACTATAATTTAATATCCATATTTTCCTTCCACTGACAAAATATGTTAGCAGTCTGTTTCAATACACCCTTTCCACCTCATCATAATTTCATAGCCTGTTAAACAGAGGATATAAACCCCAAAGAACAATGATTTAGATTAGCTATTAGGACGAAATTATTTATTATTAGGGTGGTGAGGCCCTGTCAAAGGTTGCCCAGAGAAGCTGTGGCTGCCCCATCCCTGGAAGTGTCCAAGGCCAGGTTGGAGTAATCTGGTCTAGTGGAAGATGTCACTGCCCATGGCAGGGGATTGGAACAAGATGATCTTTAAGGTTCCTTCCAACCCAAACCACTCTCTGATTCTATGATACGCTGACTTTTAGATAGCCCCATCCAGCTGAAAGGAGTTCAGCCTTTATCCTGAGCTGTTTTGTGTTAGCAGGGGACCTGTCATCTCCTGTGCATGCTGCATTTTGATCCAAAGCCAACTGAACTTACTGGACATGTCAAGCATTTTATTTCTTCCTCTTTCACCCATTTTGGTAATTTCTTAGTCAAAAACCAGAGAAAGCCACAAAACTGAAAATGCAGTGATTGACACATTCCTGCACTTTAGCGTTTTGCGCCTCTACGAGCGGACGGAGCGAAAGCGAAGAACGATGGAGCAGGTCAGCAGATCACTCGCTAACAACTTACTAATCTGCAGTTCTGTCAGTCCAAGGGGACTTGAAACACTGAAAGTGGCTGCAATTCATCCATTTAGTTTAAGTGTGTTAACCCACATAATGAGGTGCAGTCTCTTCCAAGGCAGCAGCCCAGAGCGTATTAATGATCCCTCACATGGAGTCTGGGCTGTGCTTCTCATGTGCTCACTCATTACCGCCTTCCACACTGTGGAACT